CTCCGAAATCAATCAAACCTTTTTTCCTATCTTTTTCCGTCTTTCGTTATCGAGCTGCGACTCGACTAGATCTAGGGTTTTATGTTTGTAACTCGCTGATGGCCCCTGCGGCCAAAGCCTTTGTAATTCCTTGTAATGATCACAACGCTCTTACGCGAATCGGAAACAAGATCACCTTTCTTTATAAATTCGTTTTATTGCGTTTTTCATATTTTTCTGCATTTATTTGGTTACTTGTCGTTGGCTTTCGCAGAGATCCGGTTCCTTTGGGAAATTAGGGTTTTCCTAAGTTTCCTTATTTAACGGAAATCGACAAGTGTGAATCTCGGTTCCCACATGACTCGTTTTCCTTCGTAGACAAATGAGAGCTCCTGTTCCTTCCAGTCCACCTCACATTTTCCCAGAGTTTCAAGCCACTGTATGCCCAAAACAACGTCCACTGATCCCAATTCAAGTGAGATGAAGTCAGATGTAAAGGTCGTAGAGTTATGTTTAAAGGAAACCGAACGACAAACGCCCAATCCTTTAACAATAACTCCATTCCCAAGCAATACATCTAGGCTACTACATGCATAAACTTTCAAGTGTAGCCTCTTCACAACTTCCGGGGAAATGAAATTGTGGGATGCTCCAGAATCAAGCAAGACTATCATCTCACAGTTACCAATCTGACCAAGTAACTTGGTTGTCTTCGGAGAATTAATTCCCAAAAACGTGTTGAAAGATAAGGTCTTCAGCTCAGGTTTGCTACTGCTCCCTGTCCATAGTATTTCTTCTTCAGTGTCATCCACAACCTCTAACTCCAATCCATTCATCACTGTCAAGATACGAAGTTCTTTGTTAGGACAGACGGCAACATAAGCACGAGACCACTTAGCTCGACATTTGAAACACACTCCTTCTCTTCTTATATTATCCAACTCAGCATCAGAGTATTTCTGTCGAGGCCTCAGTGTTGTTCTCTGCCCTGAACTTGCATCTTTTTGCTTACCATTCAACAACAAACTCTTTTGTTTATCAGTTTGATCATTCGATTTGGAAGCAAACAAATCATTCTGCTTTGACCATTTCTTTGAAGAATGTGTTGTGCTGCACTGCCACCAACTACTTTGCAAAAAGCACTTGATTCCATTCTCAACACTGCTGCAATGTAGTTCTGTAAACCTTTGGGATCTTTCATTCATATCACTTCTTTTATCTCAGGTGTTAAGCCATTGTAAAAAATTCCCTCCAAATGATGGTCTTCCAAATCTGGTACTTGAGAGGACATGTCTTCAAACTCAGAAATGTAATCCGCCACTGAACCAGTCTGTTTCAGAGCAAATAACCTCGTTTCAGGTTCATCATCAATCGACTCCGCAAAACGCAATACCAACGTCTCTTTAAAGTCTTTCCGATTCCGAAAACCATCTCTCTTAACCACCCAACCAAACCACTTCTTCACCGAACCTTGTACACATAATGGAATCAACTTCATCTTTGCCTCATCATTGTACCTTCCTATTGTGAAAAAATGCTCTACATCCACCAACCATTCATATGTACGAGATCCATCTAACATAGGCATCTCAATTTTTCTTAACATACTATCACGATTCGCTATATTCAAATCCTCTGACCGATAACCTAACTCAGCATTCCGATTTTTTCCCAGTTATCAGATCGCACCTGTTGATACGACGACGACGAATCGGATTGATCTAACGGTTGTTGAAGTGGTTGTTTCCCTATCGCTTTCGTCAACGCATTCATCGCCATTGTTAGCTGTGAAACGTCTCTCTGTAACGAACTTAGCGTCTCATTCGTTGTTTCACCCGCATCCTTCGATCGCGTATACGCTCCCATCAGAAACTCCAATTTGCCTTTCGTTTTCTTATCACGATCATCGCTCACACCAGAGCTTCTCGATTGCACCAGAGATCCGCACGTTGACATTTTCTTCGTGTCGAATCGAACTTTTCACCGCACCAATGATAGATTTTCGATATTGTAAAGTAACCGAAACGATTGTATATTGCATGAAGAAAGGAATTACAGATTCGATTAGTATCTCTCTAACACAAATCCGAAATACAAATGCTCGATCTCAAGTTCTCATCACGAACTTGAGCTCAGACTCATCACGTCTAAGATCACCAACAACATCAAGCCTAAACGAGTCAATACAACACAACTCTTTATTTAAACGACACTAACGGCTATAACCGCAAACCCTCCGTTTCCTTCCAAGTCTTTGCTCTTCTTTCCCTTTTTTAATCAAAAGTCGAACCCTCTGTCTCTCCGAGAGTCTCTAGCTTCCCGCCAAACTTCCTCTTTCGAACATAAGCTCTTTGATACTTATCAGAGACGCCCAAATACACCAGTCAAAGTACTTCCTCCAACCAGCCACTGTAACACAACGGCTCAAAACACAAACAAGAAACAATCAGAGATTCTCTTTCGGCTACAACCTTTAGAACAATCACTATTCAAGCTATTAAAGCTACAACCTTTAGAACTCAGTCAAAACACAACAAGAAACAATCAGAAATTCTCTTGAAGCTACAACCTTTAGAACAATCACTATCGTCTAAGCACGAAAGTTCAAGGAAGAGAAGAGAGAACAAAACCTTTAGAACCAAGATAAACATCAAAATCTAATTGCTATATCAGATATTTAAATTAACCAACAATGGAAGAGAATAGAGAACGAAACCTTCGAAGAACAGTAACGAGAGTGTTGAGGTAAGTATCAATCATCTGGTCCCTCGCTGGCGCAGGATCCTTGGGGAACTCCAGGAAGCATTATCGTCTCCCTCTGCTCATTACTACGAGTAATCCAAATCCACAGTCGCAGCCTTGACAATCGCCACCCAACGGCGAGAATCGGCGGTGGAGATGCTCCGGATCAGAGGATGATTCCATTTCCCGACAAGGCGGATGCTGGAGATTGTAGGGAAGCGTGTAATTTGGCTTACAGGATGTAGGGTTTTGGGGACGAGCGAGGAAGAAGAAGAAGATGTCGTGAAGGATGTCATTGCAGCTGGATTGATTTTCTTTTGGTGTGTATCAAGCAAGGTTAAAGATTAACTTAAAATATTTATGATTAAAATTGGAGATATTTGACATTTACGATATCGTTTAATTTTGGATCTATAACGGAAAAGCGCCTACACTTAGTAAATTAATGCGGCTAAAATTTTTTATTTTCCCACGATACTAAACATAGCGGTTTAAATTTATAAATGCTACTAAAAAACTAGTATTGGTACACGATAGCAGAAATGTCAAAAACGCTATAGTCTAATACTATTAATACCTACATTTCCTGTAGTGCCCGGGCTGGACACCGGCCTCGAGGACCCTACTCTGAAGGGACCCAGGGCCCAAACCCTGCATTCAGGTTCCCCGGGCCCGACCCCTGTTCCAAAAGCTGGCCCTTGGATAAAATGGAAGTTCTCCACTTAAGGGAACTCTTCCATATTCGCCAATATGGAAGAGTTTAACCTAATGCAAGCCGACATCTACATCTATATAAGGGGAACCCAAACCTTAGAATAAGGGATCAACACTTAGAGATTGAGAGACTAGACTTAGGCGGCTAAAGTTCATACGCCAATATTGTAGACCCTATTTTAATAATCAATAATACATCTCCTTCTCTATCGTTTATCTTGCATCTCTTGTTGTTTCTCTTTTATTTCTCCTTACCTCATACAAATTTCCTTATTCCCGTTCGCTTCTCTCAACTCATACTCGAACCTTCTTGTGTTCCGTAGTACTAAAAAAACCCTACACAAAAACACCATAACAGCTTGGCACTAGAAGGAGGGGAGTTACCCAACTACGTGACGATGACGCCAGAAGACTCGACCGAACCCACTGGAGCTACTCCAAGAGAATCCGAGCTCCTCAATCAGCTCAACACCCTCTGAGGAGAGATCACCAAGCTCCGCGAGGCTCGAGGAACAGCCGGCGACAACGCAGAACTTCTCTAAGAAGTTCAAACTCTAAAAGCCAAACCCAACGAGCACACGCAACAGCTACAACGAAGTGCAGAGAAGGTAGGAGCACTCGAAGCCGAAAACCATCTTCTCCAAGAGGAGAACCACGATCTCGGGAAGAACAACAACAAGCGCTGAAGGTTCCGACCCCGAGTTCGAACCATGCCCTCCCTTGATACTCCTATCAACGAAGAGGGAGCGACTCAGCGTACAGATCCCGATGATAAGGAACCCGAGGGTACGGAAACTACAGCAAGGAGGATGCAAGTAACCCTCAGTAGTTACTTCGATATGGAGGACGAGGAATACTCCCCCGACGACCCTCTAATCTCAGATCCATCCGCCGTGACATGCCTCGAGAAGATGTTCTCCGAAAGATTCAATACCATTCAATCGATGGTGGAAAAGCTTCCAGGCATAGCTCCCCCCATCAGGAGGAGCGACCCTAACTTCTACTCCGACACGCCCTTCGTGGAAGAGATCGCTTCAGTTGGGATGCCAAGGAAGTTCTCCTTCCCTGCCATGAAGACCTACGATGCGACCAGCGATCCGGACAACCACGTGGCCCTCTACAAGCAACTGATGCTAACAGCAACAGTCCCCCGAGGCCTGAGAGAGCCTGCCATGTACAGAGGGTTCGGCTCAACCCTAACTGGTCCTTCCCTCCAATGGTACATCAATCTCCCTACGAAATCTATAAGGTCCTTTGCAGAACTCAGCAACAAGTTCGTGGAGCAATTTGACAGCAGCAGAAACCTGGAAAAGAATTCCGATCTCTACGAAGTACTCCAGCATAGGGCTGAACCTCTTAGGGCCTATATCGCGCGCTTCAACCAATAAAAAGTAGCTATTCCCGAATGCAATGCAGGGACGGCTATCTCCGCCTTCAAAACGGGCCTGCTCCCAGACGAGGACATGTACAAGGAACTAACCAAGTACCAGTGTAAGACAATGGAGGACGTTCTTTCCAGAGCCTGGGCCCAAGTGAGATGGAAGAAGATGTCACGAGCAGAAGCAAGAACCTAGGTCAAGCAGGCCGCTCAGAAACGATCTCGATGAAGGATTACAATCCAAGCCCCCGAGGGAAGCCAGTTGTTGGGAAAAAAATATCCAGACACCAGATTCCTCCGGCCTCCGGGCTGGGCACCGGCCTCCGTGCTGGGCACCGGCCTGTAGACCCCGGCTCCAAAGGGACCCAGGGCCCGTACCCTGCCTTCAGGTTCCCCCGGCCCGACCCCTGTTCCAAAAACCGACCCTTGACTAAAATGGAGGTTCTACATACAACGAAACTCNTGTTGGGAAAAAAATATCCAGACACCAGATTCCTCCGGCCTCCGGGCTGGGCACCGGCCTCCGTGCTGGGCACCGGCCTGTAGACCCCGGCTCCAAAGGGACCCAGGGCCCGTACCCTGCCTTCAGGTTCCCCCGGCCCGACCCCTGTTCCAAAAACCGACCCTTGACTAAAATGGAGGTTCTACATACAACGAAACTCTCCTTTATACGCCAATATTAGAGAGTTTAACCTAATGTAAGCCGACATCTACATCTATATAAAGGGAACCCAAACCCTAGAATAAGGGATCGACACTTAGAGATTGACAGACTAGATCTAGGCGGCTAGAATTAGGGTTCATACACCAACATTGTAGCCTCCATTCGAATAATCTAATAATACGTCTCCTTCTCTATTATTTCTTGTCTTGTTTCTCTTGATTTCTCTTTAACTCATACAAATCTCTTTATTCCCTCTAGATTCTCTCAACTCATACCACGGCCTTCTTGTGTTCCGTAGTACTAAAACGACCATACACAAAATACCATAACAGCTTGGCGCTAGAAGGAGGGGGGTAATCCATACGTGACGATGACACCAGAAGATTCAGTCGAACCCATCGGAGCTACTCGAAGAGAAGCCGAGCTCATTGATCAGCTCAACACCCTCCGAGGAGAAATCACCAAGCTCCGCGAAGCCTGAGCAACTGCCATGGATAGCTCAGACCTTCTCCAAGAAGTTTAAACCCTAAAAGCTAAATTCGACGAGCATACTCAACAAATACAATGAAGCACGGAGAAAGTAGGGGCACTCGATGCTGAAAACCATCATCTCCAAGAGGAGAACCAAGATCTCGGGAAGAGCAGCAACAATAGTCGGAGGTTTCGAACCCGAGTTCGAACCATGCCCTCCCTCGATACTCCTGTCGACAAAGAAGGAGCAACTCAGCGTATAGCTCCCGACGACAAGGAACCTGAAGGCAAGAAAGCAACAACAAGAAGGACGCAGGTGAACCTCAGCAGTCACTCCGATATGGAGGACGAGGAATACTCACCCGACGACCCCTTGATCTCAGATCCAGCCACCGTGGCGTATCTTTAGAAGATGTTCTCCGAGAAGTTCAACACCATCCAGTCAATGGTGGAAAGGGTTTCAGGCATGGCTCCCCCCATCAGAAGTAGCGACCCTAACTCTTACTCCGACACGCCCTTCGTGGAAGAGATCGCCTCGGTCGAAATGCCAAGGAAATTCTACTTTCCTACCATGAAGACTTACGACGGGACCAGAGATCCGGACAACCACATGGCCCTCTACAAACAGCGAATGCTAAAAGCAGTAGTCCCCCAAGGACTGAGGGAACCTGCCATGTGCAGGGGCTTCAGCTCTACCCTAAACGGTCCTTCCCTTCAGTGGTACATTAATCTCCCCACGAAATCCATAAGGTCCTTCGCGGAACTCAGCGAAAAGTTTGTGGAACAGTTTGCTAGCAGCAGAAACCTGGAAAAGAATTTCGACGACCTCTACGAAGTGCTCCAGCATAGGACCAAACCTCTTTGAGCCTATATCGCGCGCTTCAACCAAGAAAAGGTGGCGATCCCCGAATGTAACGCGGGGACAGCTATCTCCGCCTTCAAAAGAGGCCTGCTTCCAGATGGCGACCTATACAAGGAACTAACTAAGTATCAGTGTAAGACAATGGAAGATGTCCTATCTAGGGCCTGGGCCCAAGTAAGATGGGAAGAAGACGTCACGAGCCGGGCCAAGGCTCAGCAGAAGAAAGAAACTAGGCCTAGCAGGCCGCTTAGGCACGATCGCGAAGAAGGGTCCCAGTCCAGGCCCCCTAGGGAGGCCGGAAGATACAGCAGGGACAGGCGCTCAAACCGCCCCCTACCTCGACTCGAGGGGATAAGCGGCATAAGCCACGCTGCCGCTAGATGCAGCACCAGGAATGCAAGGCACGGCCAAGAGAGGAGGGACCCAAAGCGCCTACTCCTTGGGACAGATGAGATAAGTTTCACTGCCAAGGAAAAGGAGAGGGTCATGGCTCCTCATCACGACGCCCTGGTCAACTGGACACTTAGTGGCTATGAAATTCTTCTCCATATGATGTATCCACGCATCTACCTTAAGGGTGTCTGCTTTCCCTTCAAACCTGATGGTACCCATTCTCTTCATGGTAAGGACGTACTTCAAGAAGTCTGGTTGCGGTGCCACTGCTTGGTTTATCTCCGGACTTTGGGTGACTTTGTTGGTTAAAACCTTGGACAAGAGATCATACACCATGGATAAGGTAGGGTTCGCCAGTTTAGGCTCATCTGTTGGGGCCTGTGCAGTCGCCTCTGCTGATATTGGATTACTTCTTCTCAATGTACATCTGTCAGAGTTCGCATGAGATGATCGAGGTCTTTGCAGTCCAATGAACGGTTCAGGTTCTGCACGCTGAGAGTTGGGTGGTGTTACAGACAATCTCCATGCTTCAGGCTTCTTGTTCTATTCACTGTGTGCACACTCTACACCTTTCATAAACCTTGGTCCACTGTCGCTGGTCCCGTCTACCGAACCTGAGGCATGTTAAAAGTTGTGGTAGTTTGCGTACCTCGACCCATCCTGACCCGACGTTCCGAACGACCTGCCTGCTCCTGATCATGGATTAGACATCTTCACGGATAAAGGGGTTAATCCTAAATTTCCCAGAAGGACCTAACCTGATTGCTAGTCCTAATACTCTCTGATACCACCATTTGTAACACCCCTGGACCGT